CCCTGAGCACAAACCCTACTGTGCACAGGACGACAGCTCCTAGTCAGAACTAGGAAATTTTTGTTAAGCTTTTGTATTTTTATTACTATTTATTTATTATCTGTAAATATATATGATATACATATATGTATATAGGTTATCGAACTTTTGTATTTCACAATACTTTTATTTACTTGGAATCCAAATTTTCAATTGATTCGTAAAATTCGTAAACTAAAGAAGGGAAACTTCCAATTAGGTTATTTTCTCTTGGTTTGTCACTCATGCTACGAATTTTCATATGAATTGTATATCGCATAAAACAGAGTGTCTAATGAGTCATAAACTAAATTGAGTGTCATACCAAACAGACACAACAAATAATAAAGAAGAAAGGAAATAGATGTATCCACATATATGTATAAATTTACACGCGACTATATATACATATATATATGATCAATTAAAAAACAAAATTCAAGATGTGACGCAGTAAAAATATGCTGTCTTAATCAAAATAAAACTTGATTAATTAAAATGTTCGCAAGGTTTCAATTGCTCGGCGTATTTCAAAGAGGAGATATATAGGGAGAGAGAGAAAGAGAGCGAAAATAAGTGTGTGTGAAGGAGCGAGAGGGAGTCAGTGAAAGAGACACAGAGTAAGAGCAAGAGCAAGAGGCAAGATGAAACAGGCGGCAAATGGAACAGAATTAATAGATTATAAAAAAAAAAAAATAAGTAAATAAAAAAATAGAATAAGAATAAATATGGATTAATATTATTATGAAAAAATTTACTATTATATTATAAAACAAATTACGGGAATACGCTGAGGTCAAACTTTATAAAATGAAATATACAAAAAAAAAAAAAAAAAAAAAAAGAACCAGGAAATTGTCAACACTAAACTAAACTAAACTAAATAAATTTCATCACTTTTATCAATGATACAAAAAAACAAAAATTCGTTATTTGAATCTTTTAATTACCTAATAAAGTAATTGGTTAAACACAGTTTTTACAGCTTTGAAAATGTTTGGTACATATATAATTTGTTTACTTATTTTATAATAATATTTTAAATATAATAATAATTATAAAAAATTAAATGAGCTTTTTAATTATTTGTTACAGAAAACAACATTTATTTGTATTTGTATTTGCATTTTTGTTTTTTTTTTTATAATTTGTTTTGTCTTGTTTTACTTTAGACACTCTTCGCTACAATTGCGCGCTTTTGCGTTTTGGTTGCTCTTCCGTTTGCTGTTGTTTTTGTTGTTCGCTTTCGAGACGAATCCGAATTCGTTTCATTTCAATTCGAAACGTTTGCATAACACGCACAACCAAACACAAATGAATTAAACACGACCGTGTAGTATTTTATATACATAAATTATAGTATTTTTATTGTTATTATTATTTTTTTTTTTTACAATTAATGTACCATATTTTATTGATTTTAGAGAAATAAAACGAATTTAGAGGAGAGGCACGGTTAATGTTTGCGGCGGCTGCAGCCGAATTGCACTTTTAATTTCGCGTTTTGTTTTATGCAACTGAACAGCAGCCCAGCAAAACAGCACGAAAAAAAAAACACACACACTTAAATTGGCATGGCCAAAAACAAACGGCAGTAACAACAACAGCAACAATCGCAGCCGAAAATGCGGCCAAAAAGAATGCAGCACCAAAATAAACCGAAGCCCAAGCGAAACGAAGCGAGCCACAAGCAAAATGCAGTCGACAAGTCCGCAACTTCGAGCACTAATTGGCAGACAGAGAGTAAGAGCGGAAGACAGAAAAAGAGCGAGAGAGAGAGAGAGAGTGTATGCTAGTGCAACTATAATCTGTGTGTGTGTGAGTGTGTTGACAAACGCGTGCCACAGTTGGGGTTCATTTACTTGTAGAAATTAAAAAGAAAACAGCAAACACAATGCAAACACAAACGCAAAGGCAATAACAGCCAAAGCAGGAGAGCGTAAGTGAGAGTGTGAATGGACTGACAGAGAGCGAAAGAGCAAGAGAGCAGCTGCAAGTTTAATTCATAAAAGTGCAGCCAGCAAAAGCAAAATGACAGAAATAACTGTAGCTGCAGCACAAACAAAGAGAGCGCTTCTTGCTCAGGCATCCGAAGAGCGCGTGAAATTATTCCACATTGTTGTTGCTGTTCAGTCAAGAGAGTTCGCAATATCTGCAGTGTTGACGTTTTGCCTTCAAGCAGACTCTTTCAGTTGGCGTCGGGATATTTGGACTGAAATCAACCGCAAATAGACAAAACATACGGGGCGAACAACAGCTGTTCGAATTGGCGTATACGCAATATTTTTTTAAAAAGACTGCAAACACGTGAGCCTAATTTGATTATGTGGGCAGGGCATCAAATAGTTGATGAAATAGGTCAAACTTTATGATGAATGTGATGCACAAATTTTATAAAATAAGTAAATAAATATAAATATTATTATTAATTAATAATTGAGTTTTATTTTATGGTTTATTTTAATTGAAAAAAATTTTTATATTATATTTTAATATATTTTAAATATAAATATACAGTGAAAACACAAATGTTAAGCCTTTAAAATATTCCAAATTAATTCAGAAATTATAAGCAGGATTTAAAATCAAGGATCCGATGTGAAAAATTCAGGTTTTGGGGAAAAGTTGTATAAACGCACATAACAGATTTTTTTTTCGCACAGCGTCAATCCATCAACAATTCAAAAAATTGAAATGTTGAAAGCAATATTTTTAGCAAATTTTAGACGAATTATTTCGTTAAGACTTTGGGCTGGCGTCCAAACATGTGACCCGGCTGGTGATGACATCATCAGTGTGGGCGGGCGAGTGGAAGTGAGGCAAAATGTGAGAGGGATGATGATGATGCAAGTGGCAGTTGCCGCTGTTCAAGCGAAGTGAAAGAGAATTGCATAGAACTGACTAAATGGCCAGACATTTGGGCATACACAAAGAAAAAAGCAAATATTTATGGTACAGAATTGTATTTAAAAATAGTTGCAAATCGACAAATTCAATTCATCTTTCTCTCGAAATGCTCTTTCTTTGGAAAGGCGAAATATGTTTATCGGTCCAAGAGGACAATAAATTGAGCACGTGACACAGGTGTAATGCTTCTCTTTTTAGGCGGAATGACCCTTATATCATCTCATTTCAGACACTAGAAAAGGTTGTCAGCATGCCAACTTGTTGAATGCATCGTACAATTTAATTTCCATCAAAGAACGTATGAAGAATGCTTCAGCTCTCTCTTTCTCCCTCTATCTCTCTCTAGCTTAAAGTTTGACACACTTATTATTAAAATTTAATAAACATCATATGTTCTAAAGATTGCTAATTTGAGAGTCGTTTTGAGAGATTATCATTTCTATGTGTCAATATTAAGATTGGGACAGACGGTCAAAGCAAATGGAACGATTATCTATGCTAATTATTGTTGTTTTATTTTGTTGCTTTTTGAGCAATTTTATTTTTCACATTTTTTAAAGCTTCTGTTAATTTATTTGCTCATAATTATCAGTGTGAAAAACCATTTAATACAAACACTCAAACAATCGCATATGTATGCGTGTGAGTGTCTGCAGAACGCGAGACTTTGTTTTGCATTGGATTCTTTATACGTATACGTACTATATTTGTATATATATTATATATTTTATTGACGCGCGATAAGAAGGTCCGCAACAAAGCGTTCTGATGGCTTTTTTTTTTTTTTTTTTTTTTTTTTAATTTTTGCTATCTGTTAGCTGAGTGAACGCGACGCTTGAGCATAAATCAATTTTATAAAAACATTTATATACACATATTTATTTGTATATTATGTATGTATTCTAGATAGTTGATGGTCATTCAAATTAAATATTTTTACATAATGCAATGGGAGACTTAGGCAAATTTCGGTGATTTGCGAGAAATGGCTAGAAAAAGTTTACGTCACGCATAACCAACAGCAACAGCAGCAGCAACAACAACAAAAGCAGCTACGAAAGCAGCCGGCAAACGTTAACGGTAACAACCACCATTTTGGCATTGCAAGAGAGTGAGAGCGAACGCGCAAATGTCACTCACGTGTGATTCTTTCAGTGTGTGTGTATATATATGTGAGGGTGTGTGTGTGTTGTGGGAGGCTCTGTGGCACTGTTGTGAGGGTGTTTGTTAAAGCAGCATGTGCTTTACTCGTAGATCCTGCTAGCTAAATACTAAAAACTTGTCACAAGTCAAACTAATATATTTAAATAATGATGCGCTGCTTATCGCTGACTGCCAATCACTTTCGATTCACTTTGCTGCTAAAATTAGGCTCACACATATGCATACTCATGCACACATATACACAGTATCGCGGCGACCCTTGTCGCACATACATACCATAAAACAGCTGGCTGCAACAACAATAGCAACGACTCACCTAATAGGAAAATATTATATTCGTTTCACACAGTTTGTGAAAATTTCTCTGAACCGTTTTAATTTCAAACACTATTAAGCACTTTCCCAGCACACTTAAAACACATATTTGCTAGCATATATACATAATACTTGTATTCATTTGCAATTTGCAAAATTTGATTTCTGAGTAAAACTTGCTCTTAAATCCTTTTTTTTTTTTTGGCACTTTAACGATTTTGCCTCTGAAGGAACGTAATTTACAGTAGAGCTATAATTTAAATTAAAACACTCAGGTTAATATATATTGGACTCGAGCCGCGAGCGTTGACCGTAAACGCGCATTGCTAACGAACATAAACACTTAAAAAATCGGACATCAGCAGCGAACGTCATTTGGTCGAAGCCGCCTCGATAGCACGTGAAGGCAAATCGATATTAAAATAACGATGAATCGATGCAAATTGAACGTCACTGCGCAATCAACGCAGTGGCAACGCCTACACAACAGCGCAACAATTTAAACACAATCGCGATTTATATAAATTAATTATGAACTATATTTAGTTTCACGTAAAAGTATATTTAACTTAAATTGATTTGGAATGCCTTGCTCGTTCTGCTACTTAATACAACAAATTTTACTTTTGTACGTCTTTCAGCACATGCTTATTTTATACATAACTACAGGCGATTTGTAATGTACGGCCGAAAATAAAGCTATTATTATTTATAATAAATTCTACGAAATCAAGCTCTTTTCTTCCTCCTTAAGCTTGCCTTCGCCGGGAGGTGGTTTCTTGCTTGCCGTATCCTTCTTCTTGCCATACAGCATATCCGTAAACAGAGCAGCGAACACCAAAAGAGCGCCAAACCATTGTCGAGCGATTAGCACGTTGCCAAATAGCAAAACGGAGCAGAGGACGGTGAAGAATTTGCGTGTCGTTGTGACCACAGAACAAGCCAGGGGCCCAAAGCCGGCAACCATCAAGAAGATAAATAACTGGCCCAAGGCTCCGCAGAATGCAATCATGAATAAGTGGAACCATACCTCATAGTGACGCAAACCGAATTGTATGAACTCCACGCCCTCACCTGTCAAGTTATCATCATGGATTATCAGTGAAACCAACAGCACTCTTTACTCTGCTCACCTGTTACCAGCATGGCCACGCCCAGGATGAGTGTGCTCCAGAAATTCATGGACAACATCATCTGTTGTCCCGATGGCGCGCTTGCTGCACGCATTCGCTCCTGAATTGCTCCCGTCAGTCCGTCCATAGATAAGCTCAGAAAAAGCAGCAGCTCACCCAGGCCTGTTGTCTCTGTGGGCAAATTGGCGATCTGGCTCTCCTTATACATGAACAGTATGACGCCCAGCACAATAGTCAAGACACAGCCATATCGCGTCCAGCTGTACGATTTACGTCCAATTAGCACGCCCAGAATCATAACCGGAATCGGCTTTGCTGATTTGCCCACCACGGCTGTGGGATAGGGTACCCAGCGCAGTGCCATGTTAGTGGATACCATGGCCAGCAGATAGGTGAGCGAACAGGCGGCGTAGTAGCCTGTGTAGGTGGTGTCTTCTTTTTGGGGCTTTACAGTGAGCATGCCTGAAGAAAGGAAATAATAGAATATATTTGTGGAGATGTACACCAATCAAGATCTACCTTTGGCAAATAGATAATTGCAGAGGCATTGTACCCAGACGAGGGCCAGTGTATATGTGAACCGTTCACCCGTCTTGCCATCTGGTTGCAACTGGTCGCCGTACCGGCCCCGCGTTAATTTCTCTTGAACAATTCCGTAGAGAAAGTACAAAAAAAAGATGCCAAAGGCGTAAATTGCGAAACGACTCTGTTCTGGTACTTTCATCGCAATGGCAAGACGTGTTAACACTTCTATTCCCTAATTCTGTTCTTAAAAATAGTTATTAAACACTTGGCATTGTGTTTTCAATTGTAAAACTCTGACTTGGTACAATTAAACTAATACGTGGAGTTTAGAGATGGTCAAAGGTAGCTACAAATGTCAACGTGTTATCGATAAGAAGCGAGGGCTGCACAGTTTCTTAATCAAACTGATATATTTTTAAGATAGCGGGTATTTTTGAATGCAAATTAATTAATCGTGGGATGAACAAATTATAAAAATGTTCACATTAGTTTCATAAACAAAATATGTCAGTAGAAATTTAATTTCGTTTATTTGGTTTAAAAATATGCGTGTAAAATATACTAAACTATATAACGTTGCTCTTTTGTTTGTAATGCACTTAAATTGCTTCATCCATACAAATACTTCAACATATTGAGTTGTTTTTTCTTATGCATAAAAATAAAAAAAAAATATGCATATACATATACATCCAAATATTATCTGGTATTGGTAATGTTTTTTAAAATTATAAATACAAGTCAAAAATTAAACAACAACAAAAAGGCATTAATTAAAATAAGCAACAGTTTGCAGTAAATTGGTGAAGCGACTAGAGCTTAAGAATAAAGAAAAGCTAAGAAATAATAGGCGGAATATATATATAAATAAATTTGAGGGTGATCAAAATAAATAATAACGTTTCATTTGTGGACTATGATATTGACAGTTGCATTGGCGGCAGCCAGGTATAAAATAGTATATAGGCTGCACTCGAGACAACGTTTGACGTGTCCAGCTGCGAAACAACTTGATCATCGAACTTATACCAGCGTCCATAGTGGGCGCTCTTGCAGAAGGCTGTATAATGTCCACCCTCCATGGTGCCGTAGTGATTGGACACGGCATATAATTGGTATGTTTTAGGCGTCACAGCACGTGATTCGGCACGTGCTATATATGGTTTCATGTCCAGATTATCCAGCGGAAATTGTAAATAGTTTTGTTTCTTAATATAGGCGCCCGGGTTGCTGGGGTCCGCGTAGAAACTGTTGGGGTTACAAATATTACATTCAGTTCAAGAAATATTTGGAGTTTATCTAGTGTTTCGACTAACCGCTTCAAATGTATCACCAGTACCGGTGGCAACTTGGAAATGTCTAACTTCTTGATGGCATCCCGTTTTGTCTTACAGTTGGGACAGTTCCAGCCGTGAATTTTCTCACCACTGAAGTACATGTCCATGCATTGATTCAGATAGCACAGATTTGCATTTGCCGGCAGCTCCAGGCTGAGATTCGAAAAACACTCGTATGTGGCCGACTCCTTGGTGCAAGTCACACACTTGACGGTGCTCTTGATCTGACCATAAAATAAATGCAGTATTAGACTCTCCTGCGACTTGGTAAACTCCATCCACGCTTTCTCTGAGGCACTGATAACCTCTCGCTGGCGCGGCACATGCAACGTTTGCAAATCCGAATGCAGCCAATCCATGAGTATGGTCAAAAATTCATGGGAATCCTGTTGATCAACGCCGCGAAAGATCTTCTGATATTGTCCCACAACGTACTGCAAAAAATTGGAAATATTTTAATATACAATATAATAAGCACAAACTTTTACTCTCGTCCTTACTCGCAAATCGCGACTGGCCACACATTTATATTGTCCGTTCCACAGCTCTTTGATGAGCGCGGCCACCTCCTCGATGACCTGTCCATTGGTTTTGTTACGTCGACATATGTAGTTCTTGTACTTGTCCGATACGCAGAACTCCATTAACTGCGGCGTGTTGCTCAGACACTGTAGTATGCTATTCATATAGCAGGTGTTGCCCAGATTCTTGAGCCCCGTTAAGCCGCGACCCTATACGGATAAAGCAAAAGATTAGGTTAGTGTCCTGCCACTGAGCGGTTAGCTGCTTGATTTACGCGTCTTAGCGGAAATATGGAGCTATAAATGTTGTAGGTGGGCGGCCGCTGAATTTTAACACCCGCTACGCAAATCATTTGTGCGCTTTGTTGCAACTGAACCAATTGAATGCAAAATACGACAGCGCTGGGTGTGACTAGCTTGCAACGTGACGACTATTGATTGGTCGAACAGCTATTTATAGCCATCGGTGCAACCACTCACCACATTGTGCCCTATTACAGGTGAGAAATCACGGACTCGTGGCGCTGTCGTCTCCACGTTACGGCTCTGTGGTTTCGTCGACCGATCGTAGGCGGGTCGGATAGCTGTGTCTTCGGATATAATCGTCGGCTGCAACTCATTGAATGTATTGTTCAATGCGTCGCCTGTGGGTGTGAGTGGGCGGGCTGTATTGGTCTCTGCCGGTGGCTTATAATGCTTTTTCGCTGCGCGTGCAATGGACAGCTGGTGCTCGCGCTCGAGGCGATCTCGTTCATGCTGTTCGTCCAGCTGCTGGCGCTCCTGTATTTTTGATTCAATACGTTTAGTTGTCTCGTCATCATTTTGCAAATACTTCATCGAATTTTGCTCCTTGTAGCGATTCAGTTCATCGCGCAGTCGATTGTTTTCAATTTTCTATAATAGTTTATATTAATTAGTTACTATAGAATATATATATACCCTTTAAAAAACACTCACATAGTCCTCAGCTCTGCTTTCCAACTGTAATATGTTGTAGAGCACCTCCTGTTCTGGATAGCTTAGAGCTGCGCCCTCAGCATGCAGTTGCTTTAGCTCGATGATGCTTTGCCACTTCTTGGCCGCCGTGTCGAGTAGCATATCGTTGTGATGTGCCCGCTGCAGCAGCACAGTCTGATCGCGTATGATGTCATTGATAGGATTCTCCTGTGGCTCAGCAGGCTGTTGTTGCTGCTGCTGCTGCTGATTTGGCGAGCTCTGCTCGTAGGTGCGCACTGCAGCCGGTTTGCTGGCACGATTTATGCTGGGCCTTTGTTTATGCATTGCATTGGGCGCATTCATAATATCCTCCTTCATTGTTATGTCATTTATGGATGGATACTCGATGTCATCAATTGTTTCGATGTCATTGTTGTTCTGCTGAGGCGGTTGGACACTCGGATTGGTGCAGTGCGTCGGATACATCATGATGAAAAACTCGTAGCCGCCCTCCAAAATCTGTATGGGCGAGCGATAAGTAACATCTGGATCCCACTGCAAAAAGGAAAGTAAAATTGTAAATATGTTTCGAAAGATACATGTGGGCAATAATTGTTTTTGCTTATTCATAACAATTTATGCATAATATTTAGTTTTAGGTAATTAGTTTCTAAAACTTTGTAGCCTTTGCTGGGACAGTTAACGTACGTTTTTCAATATGTCCAACAGAGTGTATATAGCTGCATTGCCCGCGGGCTGGGCATCTTTAGTGTTCCAATCCATAAGCACAACCGACTCCTTGACAGACCGCGAGGCCCATGCAGCTTTGGCGCTGCTGCTTAGGCGTGCCTGCAGCTTACCCGCGGACATGCTGTAGGGAGAAAAGAATTTATAAATATTAAAAGCAGATTACGCAATTCTAAAGCAACCGATAATTACCCCGGCATTATCAGCTCTTCGGGCACATTAAATGCACAATAGTAGGTCAAATGAGAGTTCTCGTAATCGGCGCTGCTGCGGCAATCCATGACCAGCACAGAGTTCTGCTGCATGCGCCGGAAGAGTTCTTCACAGCTGATTAAACCCAATTGGTCATACGTTGGACTTGGCGAGGCCAATGTGCTAGGCTCGCCAATTGGTTCCTCTGGCGGCAATGGCAAGTTCATCGAATTACGACCATTTTGATTTTCTGGCGGCATCAGCTGCTCATAGCGCGTGCTCAGTGATTTGCTAATGAGCTCCAGGGTGTCCATGATGCGGCGATTTGATTCTGTGTCGCCCAGCACTTGCCGCACTGTCAGTTTGTGTTGATTGTAATCGGATTTTTCGCGTATGGCCGCCAACATGTTGAAGTACTTTACGTAAGTGATGTAGGCCAGCTCTTGGTCTCCATCCCGGCAATACTGCTCAGCGGTCAGGTACAGCTTACGAGCTGTGTTTAATAAACTGCAATGGGATTAAGTTTATTCAAATTTGTTTGTCTCGTTGACATCAGCGTAAAATATTGGATGCGCTCATATTCGGGTCTTTGCCGCAAAAATGAGGCGTCAGCGGTGAGCGGCGTTGCATTTGGTGTCGACTTACATTTTCATGCTCTTGTTACGCACGTCTTTTATCTCTGTCCACTTCTCCAGATCTTCTAATTTGTCGGCCATGTGCAGTTTCTTCAGTTGCGCCATTCTTTGTCCTATGTGTGTGTGTGTTTGTGTGTGGGGCAGATTCTAGTGTTTGTGTATAAAGGGCTTTTTATGTCAGTCCCGTGGCCGCAACTTTATGTGGGTGCAACCGCCTATAACGCACAGTTCGTGTGTTTGCCAAACAGTAATGTCAATTAACATAACAGCGACACAAACATGAACATTCACTAAGCAAACAATCTCAGTTACTTTAGCAAAATCGAAAATGATTACCAAGTACACTTACTACGCTCAAATTAGATTTAATTAAAGCATAGATTCAGAAAATGTAGAACGACGACACACCACGGCTTGCGAAATTTATCGATAGCCAGCAACAGCTGTGTCATTATAATGTGGTGGCCTGTCGATATAGTAGCTGATTAAATCGTGACGGATGCATCTGTTAGCTTACCCGCAGCTATTCGCATGTAAACGTGATATTTGAAAAAGAATTTATGTTTACCACTGCATTATTTCAATTTGACATTTATTGTTTCCAAACATTACATACAATTTGCAATTTGTGTTTTTTTTTTTTTTTTGAATCTATAAACCAAATTTGTTGTTTCTGTTTTTAATAATTTTCAAGGCGGCTGAGTTTAGTTTAGTATTACAATTTTTTAATCGTTTATTTTTACTTGCATCTAGTTTTGGGCTTGCTCTGCATAAGTCTTTGTGTATTCGATTTACTTTTTCCTCTCGAAGTAATTGTGTTTCTCATGAATATTTATGTGTTTTGCCTTGAAAAAACGGCGTTTCTAATTCAATTTTAATATATTCATTTAATGGAACCAAGTCCGTATATACCGCGGGATCCGATGTATTCATACAGGTAAAACCAGTGGATATGATTCCA